GGTATGTATCTCTAAATACAAAAAAACTCGAAATTCAAGGCAATCACTGTGCACTGGTGCAAGAAAGTTACAATCACAAGATATATACATCAGCAAAATATGATTTTGCCACACGGTTACCAGAAGGTCACAAGCTTTGACAGTGCTTACTAGACTAAGGATATGATTGTCTTAACTCAATAGTCTTAACTTGCTAGGCATAATATAAGCTTTCTTAATAACCATGACTGTCATATCTTCCATAATAATCCTAACCCTCACAGCTTATGTATTATGTAGTAATCAACAATCATATTAGACTATCAAGTGAAGACTATCGTGTAATGACTATCAAGTTAAGACTACTGTATTTTATTCTAAGTCTGTACAATAGACCTGTGATACTTGATGAGTGTCAGCCTGAACAGTATATTAAAGATCACACTATCATACTACACATAGGTATGACTATTGAAGACATGATGTAGTGCCTTATGATGTGTTTTTATGTGTCTCCTGATGTGTTGAGAATGTCCTACATTACCTCATATGTCCATGTGAGGCCATATGAATTCTGTGAACTCCTGACATTAAGGGCTATCCACATGTCAATGAACACAGTCATCTAGGCCTCACATTGAAATCATTGAAAGCATCAAACTCCTGATGCGAAAATATGATCCAAATTCTGAAGGACCCCTGAGAGTGAAGGCTATCTGCATATCAATGCCTGAAAGCATTGAGGCCCGACATCAAAATCATTGAAAGCATTGAACTTCCAATGCTGAAATTCACCTGATATATAGTATTTTGCTCCTATCTCACTCAAATCACATCTGTTTGAGATAATCAAAATTCTGATGGACCCCTGAGAGCAAGGGCTATCTGGGTGGTAATGCCCGAAAGCATCAGGACACTCAGCACTCGGAAAGCACTTGGCACTCGGCACACGGCACTTGGTACTCAGCACTTGGTAGTCAGTATATGGGATTTTGCATATATCTCACTCAAATTATATCTGTTTCAGACAATCTGAATTTTACCACACCCCTGAGATCGAGGGCTATCTACATGTCAATACCCAAAAGCATTGAGACCCGACATCAAAAACATCGAAAGCATTGAACTTCTGATGCCAAAATTCACCCGGTATATAGTATTTTGTTCATATCTCACTCAAATCACATCCATTTGAGATGATCTAAATTCTGACAGGCCCTTGAGAGTGAGGGTGATCTGGGTGTTAATACCCGAAAGCATCGGGGCACTCGGAACTCGGAACTCGGCACTCGGCACTTGGGACTCGGCACTCAGCACTTGGGACTCAGTAAATCACATCTGTTTGAGATGATCTAAATTCTGATGGGCCCCTGAGAGCATGGGCTATCTGGGTGTTAATGCCCGAAAGCATCAGGGCACTCTGCACTTGGCACTCAGCACTTGGTACTCAGCACTCAGTAGTCAATATATAGTATTTGCATATATCTCACTTGAAATTCACCCGGTATATAGAATTTTGTTCATATCTCACTCAAATCACATCTGTTTGAGATGATCTAAATTCTGATGGGCCCCTGAGTGTGAAGGCTATCTGGGTGTTAATACCCGAAAGCATCGGGGCACTCGGCACTCGGCACTCGGCACTCAGAACTCAGTTCTCGGCACTTGGCACTTGGCACTCAGCACTCGGTAGTCAGTGTGTGGTATTTTGCATATATCTCACTCAAATTATATCTGTTTGAGACAATGTGAATTCTGCCACACCCCTGAGATCAAGGGCTATCTACATGTTAATGCCCGAAAGCATCAAGACCCGACATCAAAAACATCGAAAGCATCAAACTTCCAATGCTGAAATTCACCTGGTATATAGTATTTTATTCATATCTCACTCAAATCACATCTGTTTCAGATGATCTAAATTCTGACAGGCCCCTGAGGACGAGAGCTATCTGGGTGTTAATACCCGAAAGCATCGGGGCACTCGGAACTCGGAACTCGGAACTCGGCACTTGGCACTTGGTACTCAGCACTCGGTAGTCAGTGTGTGGTATTTTGCATATATCTCACTCAAATTATATCTGTTTCAGACAATCTGAATTTTACCACACCCCTGAGATCGAGGGCTATCTACATGTCAATGCCCGAAAGCATCGAGACCCGACATCAATAACATCGAAAGCATCGAACTTCTGATGCCAACATTCACCCGGTATATAGTATTCTGTTCATATCTCACTCAAATCACATCCGTTTGAGATGATCTAAATTCTGACGGGCCCTTGAGAGTGACGGCTATCTGGGTGTCAATACCCGAAAGCATCGGGGCACTCGGAACTCGGAACTCGGCACTCAGCACACGGCAGAAAGCTTGATTGCAACACTGATGGCACTGAGGTGGATGAGGGAACACCTCCTGACAGTGATTGAATGCCTGAACGCATCGGGGCACTCAGCACTCGGCACTCAGCACTCGGCACTCGGAACTCAGAACTGAGCACTTGGCGCTCAACACTTGGGACTCATTCACCCTGTATATGGGATTTTGCATATATCTCACTCAAATTATATCTGTTTCAGACAATCTGAATTTTACCACACCCCTGAGATCGAGGGCTATCTACATGTCAATACCCAAAAGCATTGAGACCCGACATCAAAAACATCGAAAGCATCGAACTTCTGATGCCAAAATTCAACTGGTATATAGTATTTTGCTCATATCTCACTCAAATCACATCCGTTTGAGATGATCTAAATTCTGACAGGCACCTGAGAGCGTGGGCTATCTGGGTGTTAATACCCGAGAGCATCGGGGTACTTGGCACTCGGAACTCGGAACTCGGAACTCGGAACTCGGAACTCGGCACTCAGCACTCGGCACTTGGTACTCAGCCCTCGGTAGTCAGTGTGTGGTATTTTGCATATATCTCACTCAAATTATATCTGTTTCAGACAATCTAAATTTTGCCACACCCCTGAGATCGAGGGCTATCTACATGTTAATGCCCGAAAGCATAAAACCCGACATCAAAAACATCGAAAGCATCAAACTTCCAATACTGAAATTCACCCGGTATATAGTATTTTGCTCATATCTCAATGCGAGACAAAAGATTGGAAACAAAACTCAAAATTCGAAACTCGAAAGTACTGACTACCGAATACCAAGTACCGAGTACTGAATCTCGGGTCTCGGTACTCGGTATTCGGTACTCGACACGATGCTCGAAACTCATAAAACTGTTTCGAATCACCAAGTACTGACTACCGAGTACCGAGTACCGAGTACCGAGTACCGAGTACCGAATCTCGGGTCTCGGTACTCGGTATTTGGTACTCGACACGATGCTCAAAACTCGTAAAACTGTTTCGAATCACCAAGTACTGACTACCGAGTGCCGAGACCCGAGATTCGGTACTCGGGACTCGGTACTCGACACGATGCTTGAAACTCATAAAACTGTTTCGAATCACCGAGTACTGACTACTGAGTACCGAGTACCGAGTACCGAATCTCGGGTCTCGGTACTCGGTATTCGGTACTCGACACGATGCTCAAAACTCATAAAACTGTTTCGAATCACCGAGTACTGACTACCGAGTACTGAGTACCGAATCTCGGGTCTCGGCACTCGGTAGTCAGTACTCGGTGATTCGAAACAGTTGTACGAGTTTTGAGCATTGTGTCGAGTACCGAGACCCGAGATTCGGTACTCGGTACTTGGTGGTCAGTACTCGGTGATTTGAAACAGTTTTACGAGTTTTGAGCATCGTGTCGAGTACCGAATACCGAGTACCGAGACCCGAGATTCGGTACTCGGTACTTGGTATTCGGTAGTCAGTACTTTGAGTTTCGAATTTTGAGTTTTGTTTCCAATCTTTTGTCTCGCATGCCGAGTGCCGAATTCCGGGTGTCGGGTGTCAATACTCGGTTCTCAGTACTCGGTACTCGGTGATTCGAGTCTCGAGACTTGTGACTCGTGATTTACAAATCGACATTTGAAACTTGTGATTTCTGAGAACAATGTGTATTATCTTATGTATTTCTGTACTCATTTCACCGACTACCGAGTGCCGAATCTCGGGTCTTGGGTCTCGGTATTTCAAGACAACAAAAATGTATATCATCTTAAATTTGAATTTTCTTAACTCGAGCCTCGAAACTCGTAAAAATGTACAATACCTAGGCCTATCTGTCTATATGATATGTATCTGGGCCCACCTGTCTATCTAATACATAATTCACCTCACCCTTGGCCCACCTGTCTATCTAATATTACCCGACGTCGGCCCACCCATCTATGTAGAATTCCCCACGTCGGCCCACCCTTCTATCTAATATGACCCCACGTCGGCCCACCCGTCTATGTAATAAATAATTCCGCTCACCCTCGGCCCACCCGTCTATCTAATATTACCCAACGTCGGCCCACCCATCTATGTAGAATTCCCCACGTCGGCCCACCCGTCTATCTAATATGACCCCACGTCGGCCCACCCGTCTATGTAATAAATAATTCCGCTCACCCTCGGCCCACCCGTCTATCTGATATTACCCCACGTCGGCCCACCCGTCTATCTAATATTACCCCACATCAGCCAACCCGTCTATGTAATAAATAATTCCCCTCACCCTCGGCCCACCCGTCTATCTGATATTACGCCACGTCGGCCCACCCGTCTATCTAATAAATATTTCACTGCTCCCTCGGCCCATCCGTCTACAAAATAATACTAATACGTCGGCCCACACGTCTATATAATACTATTTGCTATACATCTCTCCTCAGGTCTATAATATATGTCAATCCTACTCTACATATTACCCACATGGGCCCACCCATCTCCATAATAATATTTCTCCCGGCCCATCCGCTATCATCGATGATATATATAACATTAGCATAGATGGGCCCACCCGTCTCCATCGGAAATAATATGCCTCCCGGCCCACCCGTCAACATCGGGAATATACATAACATCGGCCCATAATCTGCTGGCCCGTATTACACGGGATATTATGTAGGTCGGGTGACCCGTATAATACGGGATTTGTCACTGAAGGGGCTCCTGAGTTCACTTTTTGTCTAGGTGGTATGATGTGCGTCAGCACATCCTCGTCATGGCACATCATAGGCTTACGATGCCAAGCTTGAGGAATTCGTCGGTTGCGGCCTTATTGACTCGCTTTGCAAGCCACTCTCCAAGGCCCCACTCATCTTCATCAGCAAACGGTGTCCAAGGATTATCCTCAAGTCTCATGGCAATCTGATCCTCCCGAATTTGTTCAAACACTGTCTTTCCAACCCCCAAAACGTCTGCTGCAGGGTGCGGGAAGACTTTTGCAAAACGTGTGGGCTCCTCATCTGCGACCTCTTCCACCCTTGTGCATTTGGATTGGGGACCTGACTCTGACTCTGCATCCTCTGGCACATATCTGGTTCTGCTGGGAAAGTCATAGACGACATCTTCAGGTATGTTATAGTCATAGTCTGGTGGTGGTGGTGTTGATGAGTCTAAGGTGCTTGCTTGGCTGGGAGATTGATCAGAAGACATGGCCTTGACTGCAATGTCCCATTGTTGGCGACATTCTGGTGTGTTCTGAATGTGTAAGGTTACGTCTTTGTGTCGGCTCAGCTCTTTGAGACAGAAATTACAGCGTGGTTTCTGCTTGGTGCCGGATGGCATGGTTCTGGGGATTGGACTGCGTGAACGCACAAAGGTATGTTGATTACTGCCTGATATCTTGCTTACATTTTCTTATTTACAGTGCTTTTGAGTGCCTGTGTCTCAGACTGACATCCTGACACACTCCGTTACTACTGTTGGGCAATTTCGGTGCGGCACTTCAATTGGTGCGTTCACGTTCTCTCTGTTTTCTGTTTCCCCCCCTCCCTCACAATCATTCTGATATCGCTGTGGCTATCACAACCTGGCAGGCGCATATAAGAAAAGTGTTCTACCAGTATAAGTGAGTCTTGGCTCTGCCTAGCTGCTACACTTGCAGAATGCAAGAGTGTTCGACCCTAAAGGGGAAGCAAGGAAAGCAAGGATCCACGGAAAGATGCTGATCAACCCTGGTGAATGGCGGTGAAAGCGTGAGAAATGCACTGAAGGCGTGCGCGGGAAAGCAAAGTGCGAAAGTGCGTGAAGCATGGGAAGGTAGTGCAAGCGGTGCACAAGTGAAACAATGTGAACTAAGACTGCTGAGAGACGACTGATGATGATGATAGGACGAGAAAGGCGACTGATGACTGATACTGATGTCGCCACTAGCTAGAGACTGCTGCTAGGGCCTATGACGACGAATACATGCATTGCATGGAACTAAATACCAAGTAACATGGTGGTAAGAAGATACTGAGTGGTAGGAAGCTAAGGTGGAAAAGTTCGGTGTAAAACGAACATAAGTGTATGTAAGTTCTACCTAAGCACTCTCCCAGGGCTTGGAGCCGAATAGGGAGCGCTCTAAGTATGTAAGTGATGTAAAGTGATGTAAAGTAAGGGTCCATGACGAAATGGGAAGTGTAATATGCCACATATAGTCAGATAACGAAAAGGGACATACCGAGGGACTGGTTGGACGATGGATGGATGCTCCTGGATGATGCGTGACGTAGTGCGCTTAAGCGCGAGAAAGCGCGCAAGGCGCGCATGCGGGAATACTGCGCATTGTGTGGGAAAGTAATGCGCGTATGGCGCGTTTCGCGGGAAAGCTGCATGTGATATGCAGAGTCGACTGAAGACTTGGTGGAAGTCATATGGATGATGGTGCGAGTTGTTCCATGATGGCCAGTTGTCAGAATTTGTAAAATGAGCCCATATGAGCCCACAGAAATGTGAGTCTCTACATCGCGTTCTCTCTGTTTTGTGTTTCCCTCCCTCCCTCGCAATCATTCTGATATCAATGTCTGCAGCGGAACATGGAGCGGTCCGCCGTGATCACAGACTTACTGAAAGGGCTCAGTATATATGTAAGTTGTCTCTGTCTGGTTTTTCTCGTCATCGCATTGATTGAAACCCAATTTTAAGCTGAAACTCACCAAGACAAAGAAAATCGCCACCACCAGCAAGTCAATAAAGCTCAAGAATGTCAAGAGAAGGCTCATCAGAAGGCAAGGAAGGCTGCTGAACGTGAGGCTTACCAGAATTGTACCAATACCACTGGCACAGTTCAAGCCACCAAGTCTGCAGTCTCAGTGGATACCGATCCTGGGGTACATTTCTCAATTTATTTGGATAGGCTAGTGTGTCTTACATTGTGCGATTGGTTTGCCAGCCAAACTGTCTCTACGCCCAACAGGGACCCCAAGCTAGTCGCTCGTCAAAGTATGGTGCTGCCTGCGCCACACAGGACCACATTGGTATGTCTATGGCTATGTTACTTTTTTATCAGCTAATCATACTAGAATAATACTCCACATCTCAACCATTTGACACCAGAAAAGGCTGCAGAGTTGTTGCGCCTGCAGGAGGCCGTGTTGGCCAATCAAGCAATGAGTCCAGTGTCTGCAGTGTCTCGAGGCGAGTGTCCCATTCGTATTATTCAGCGCTATGGAATTTAACTGTAATCTGCTATGCTTCCTCACTCCCAGGTGGTCCCCATCCTAGTTCAAGTCTTAGAAATATGACTGCTCACTCGCCCAGCCCTACTGACGAGGCCCTGTTTGATGAAGCCATTGCAGGCCTCGCTGACTTTGACATGGATGGGGACCAGGCTGATAAATCCCTCTTGGACGAGGACGACGATGACCCCAATGGTGATGTAATTAGTAGGTCAGCATCCCCAGGCATGGAACGCATTGGCAAACGGCGGCGTGGAGCATCTGAAAGTGACGGAGACGACAATGGGCAAGTGCGGAAGGCAGTGAAGATCCAGGAGAGCAAAGGGCGTCCCAAGGCTGCTGATTATGAACCTGCTGTTCGGACTATATTTGGAGTAGCATGGGCACTCTATCGTGGTCGTCTCTGCACCGAGGGCACAATGCCTGATTGTATGCAGGAGGTCACCTGGGCCAAGTTAGCATGCAATGAAGCATGCAAGAGGTTACATACAGAGGTTGCTTATGATGCTGAGATTTTGAAAATGGTCTGTGATTTTATTGGATATGTTCGATCTCTGATATGCAGCCTAGATCACTTCTCGAGGTTCCCACCTGTGCGGTGAGGTCAAAACTAAAGTTCGGCCCTATGTGGCAGACGAGTATGGGTTCGAGACCAGTACAAAGCAATCTGTCATCAATCACAACATCATGCTTGCGCGCAACCTCAAAAAGGATTTCGGATTTGTTTATAAGGTACATGATGATTACATTGCGGTATTAAAACGTTAATCATGCACACAGACTCGCTCGGCTGACGGCCACAAAGGGTTGTATGGAGCGAAAATTATTCAGAAGGGTGTGAACGCTATCTGGTTTCGTGATAAGAAGGATGAAGGGGTTGTGTATCCAGAGTTCTACAAACCTTTTCCTGAGGTTGCGCTTGCATTTCTCTTGACAGCGGTATGTTCTTTTGCGCAGCTAGGGAGGTTGGCAAGTGCTGATTCATTTGCTGTCAGATTGAGAGCTGCATCGACGAGTGGAGCAGTGGTGGTCAAGCTAACAAGATGTTCACTATAGATGAGTATCAAGATGTGCTTGGCGAGCATCTTAACAACCTTGTAGACTTTGATGAGCACACAAAGGCTCAAGGCCTTCTTCCCAAACTGTTATCTCATCTTCATGACAATGGCCGGTATGTCTCATGTGTATTTTTGTGTTGGTTTGATCTCATATGGCGGTTGGTGTATCAGGACGCATTCAAAGGCAGACCCCCTTGGTCACGAGATTGGTCGCACCATGGCACGTAGCGCATTTGATGCAGCAATCGAGGAGTACAATGAACGTGGGGGTGTGATGAGTGATACTGAGGATGATTAGTATGAGTTATTATCATATTGCCAATGGATCCCATTTTCCCATTTTTTCGAATGGTTTGAACCACTGAGTGATTAATGGAGATACTACTGTCAACTATAATTTGGTACTGCCGATAACCGGACACATGGCTGATCCTATAGAGTGCTATGTCGAGCAACTTCAGCAATGCAGATACTCAGCCCAGCCGCAACTAAGCACTATCTCACACTATATTGTGACAACACTATGCTACCAGGTGTCTGAGAGTGGGGGGGGTAGCTACCCAACAACACAAGCAACATAGTCTGTGTAGATCTATCCTGCAGCCCGACTTTTCCTGATGCCGTTTCATCTGGCTCAAGGTTCATAGCACGCATTTGTTCTACTTAGACATCAGTAAGAGCACACCAATGACAAAACATGTTACTACATACCTACTGCAAGTGCAGCTGCAGAAAGACACGTGCCATCAAGCATCTTGCGCTGGGTGAAATCAACACGCAATGCTGCAAGTTTATCAAGACATTAATTTGTAATCAATATTTGGCCAAGCGCCTTGTACCGGCTGGAGCGCCTCCACGGCTCTTTGACGGCCTTTATGTGCTTAGCTTCAGTGATTGAAGAGCACAGGCCATTTGGGGCCCCAAACAGACGAATCAGTAGTATATAGTGTTGAAGTGAGTGTTGGCGAGGGAGTGAAAATGTAGAAACAACACCAGTTGTTTCAAAAATCTCTCAGTATCAATGGAAGCGGTCAAGGGCCTCTTGTATTTGCTCGAGAGTCTTCTCTGTAATGGTGCTGCATCGGACAAGATAACAAAACTCCAGGAAGGCTCGAAATGTTCGAACCATTTCTAGAGGGATGTATCCTTCGATAGCGGATAAGTATACCTAGTACCATATGTCAGTAAGATGTTAGTAGACCAATCCACAAAAAATGTACCTTCATGAGTGCCTTTGAGTCGTCACCCATCCATTGCTTAAAGCCTCGTCCTTGTGGGAAGCGCCGAAGACCAGTGAAGGCTGGAACAGCAGCAATTCTAGACAAAAACTAGTCAGATTGTCCTGTAGATTATCAAGAAAATAAAACTTTACTTTCAGTCAATATCATCCATGATACGCTCAGCTTCTTTCTTCGAATGTGTCTGATATAGGTACTTTTCAACCCAGTCCACAAGATGGTCTTTAAACATGCCTTTGATAAGCTGGTGAAGGATATTAGAGGTAATAAGTTGGTGGATGTTGGCCTGAGCAAAATCATTTGTGACTGGCTGATAAAAAGTGTTAAGGCATTGCAAAAATGTAATGCAAAATGTAAGACTTACGACAAGATCACCAACAATACCATACTCATCCCATAATACATCTAGGGTCCCCTCCTCAACAAGTGCATCTGTATGATGGCGACAATGCCAACCAGCCGATTCATCTAGATTGATGTGTGACAACAAACATCTGTCCAATAATGAGTCTGAGTAATAAATTAAAAATTTGGAGTACATACCTTGGGCACCAACCACGCACAATGCATGTCAATAAGACTTGTTCCTCATAGTCTGCAATGTACGGTCCCAGACCATAGATCACACGACGGAAGTGACCATCACCGAACCATGCAACTTCATACTTTGTGATACCAGGACGAAGTGTCTTGAGAATCTTAGAGAGCGAGCAATGAAATAACTGCTGGTGGAACTTTCGGAACTTCACATTGCCAGTTGTGTGTTCCTTTGTTGCTGTCTTGAATAAGCAATACATCATTATATATTAAAAACATCAGACTTACTTTTAGGAATAGCAAGGAACCCAATGATACTGGCTGCATCGCGATGAGCACGTCTAACGTTGTTGCAAACATTCCCAATTGACACATAGAGTGGATAATACTTGTTGTTTCCAGTTGCAACTGATACTGTAGTCTTGTCGCTGCCTAAGACAACAGGTGTCATATACCATATTCCCGGGTACAGATCCGAAGATCCGGATCTCAGATCCGATCCAGATCCGATGGACATATCCATCGTCTGGTCCACAGATCCGATCTAATCCTTGTTTCATGTCCTGTTCGTATAACTCTAACTAGCGTTCATCTCCTTTCAGCATTCCTGTACACCGGTATACCGGTTATCCTTTACTTCCGTTATGCTTACTGATCCGCTACACTTACTGATCCGCTTTAGCTTAGACTTCATTCCCGATTATGATACGTTATCCGTCCGACTTACCAATATGCTGTACACATACTTTGCTTATACTTCATACATAGCCTCACACCTTTGCTTATTGATCATTCCGTTAGTTATCCATAGTATATAAACCCTTGTACATGTGCTGTAGTAGATCAGTTCAAATATCATCTTAGATTGCACTCATTCTGTCTGGACTCTAAGTCCCTCCATTATCCGTCCGGACTTGAGTACGATACTCTTGTCTACTCCGAGACTTAGGATTGATTCCTATAGTCTATATATCCGTCTCTGTCTTCGGACAGTCCTTGCCTGTTAGTTTCTAGTTCAGATCTGATCCGGATTAGCCGTTGCTATATACGTTCGATATCTGGAAGCCATAACAGATCCGTTATGAGACTTATCCGTCTCAATATACGCGATACTCTAGTACTCTGAAATAAGGGGCAAGACTCGGGAAAGGGGCACAGTGCACGAGCTGAGGCCGAAGCCCTTTGGATCCGATACTACTTGAGTACGGTCTTCACAACAGGTACGAATGTGGATCCATGTGATTCTGGATCTTCTGAGATTATGTCCTGGCGACAGTTGTTAGAATCAGAGTAGATATCAAGAGAATGAAAGACCTACTGCCTGATCCCATGCTCAATCACTGGACATGAAGTCCCTCCACTGACGTTCATCACCATTAGTTGAGAACTCACGGTAGGGTCGGTAATCAAACTCCTCAGCATAGTCCGGATTTGCAAGCATGTTACGAATCACGTCTCATGGGTCACAGTACCAGACATCAAAGTCTTGATCCATCCATGGCGGAACATCGGTCTCTGGTCTTTTGCTGTTGTATCGAACTGAGAATGACTGCCATCTGACATCACTGAGTGGTGTTTTGTCAATGGTCTTGTAAAGGTTGCAAACATCAGCAAATGGAGGTTTGTCATTGTGTTCCATGAGTGTCGAAGCCCAGAGATCAAGTAGCTTATCGTCCAATCATTGGGAGATTTATCGGAGAGTGGCTTTGGTGGGGTTCCAGGGGGCAGCAACATGCCGTTCTCATTGCAAGGACAAGCTAAAAGATATACATCAAAACATGGTTAGAATAGTGTCTCAATGACAAATTGAAGTCTTACCATCAAGGCTCTTGTGAAAATTCCTATACAAGCGGTCTCCTGGCCCCCAGAACTCAGTGTCAATTGCAGGAGCTGGTGATGGTGAATCCCATTGTGAAAACACAACCTGACTAGGCACTTGTTAAGGTACTCAGCCAGTATATGTCTAATGCTCTGCCTATGCTGCTATACTTGCAACAAAGATGCAAGAATGTTTTGACCCGAGGGAATAGCTACTAAGAACAACTTAAGATCAAAAGACCCGAAAGAGCGCTAAAGCGCGGGAATAGCGCATTGCAAGATAGAGCGCTAATGCGCGGGAAAGAGCGGAAGTCAAGAAAGCGGACACTGAGTCAAAAGAGGGTAATGAATAGCAAGTGAGATCAAAGGTATTGATTGCAAGGGTAAGGGAAAGTCAAATAGGGGCCATAGAGTGCAACTAAAGAGTGACTACCTCTAAGTAAAACCTAAGGGAAGGAAATACAGCCGAAGGGAAGTAATGTCGAAGTAGTCACCATAGGCTTCTTATACTAGTAAACTATACCATCTCGGACTCGGAAGGGATAGGATATACATGTAATAAGACTGTAGCACTTTTACAAACTCGAGGCAAGGCAAATTACATACCAATGAGGTAGGATGGACCATGGATGGATTCCGACATTTCAGGTGGATCCTAGAGCGCGAGAACAGCGCGCTAGATAAGCGCTAAGCGTGGGAACAAGCGCTAGATAGAGCGGACATGCACTAATGCTCCTATAGACACATTGCTGATAGTTCTGATAGTGCTATAAGCGTGGGAATAGCGTCGGATAAGTCGCAGGAGTGTGAATTGCGCTGCGGGAATGTGCGGAATAGCATCAGACAAGGGTTATGGCTGAGGCAAGTGAAGACTGCTGATAGGGGAGTAGTGAATAATATGAGGGATAACTTTGGTCCACCTATTGAAGGCTTATGCAGGTATACATGCCTAGCGCCAATATGATTGTCACACCGTGTTGCATCATTTTCCGTCATATTGAAGTCGTCATATCCAGCATCTTGGAAGTCGAACCACATGACATCCTGCTCAGGTGCCAGACTCACAATGGTGGGATATGCTGCATTCCAATGTTTCGTTCGTCCTGCTCGAGTCTTAAAGTAGTGCCGGCAGTTTGGACGTCCACAAGGGAGTTGGTGTGCATTATGGTCCCATTGAGAGTTCTGGCTCCTTTGGACGATATCAGCCAGTATCAGAAGTATGAAAAAATGGAGTACATACATAGCTTATACTCAGTTTACAAAAAGTGAGTGTTCAAAAGCAAACCAGCCTAAGTGTCACAGTGGTAATAAATAAGCATTGTCCATGTTTGGGGTCAGGGCAATGCACTTAAAAGTTTTCACTGAACTTAAACCCTTCTCACCACTCCCTACTACTCGCACATTCCTCCCTGTCTTGCTTGCAGCTCCTTATACACAGCTTCCATATCAACATGCCTTCTCAATCCGCCACGACTCCACCAACTCGTCATACTCGCCCAACTAATGCAACTGCGCATCCTGGTGCAATCCTCTTACAGGCAAGGAAACCCCGATGCACGTCTGAACAAGTTGCTGCAGCTTGAGATGAAAAGGCAACACAAGCGGCAGCACAGGCAGCGGCTGTTGAGGCAGGCGCCAAGTGTGTGGCTGGTATAGAGTTGGAGATGGAAGCCAAGCAGATTGAGACGTTGATGAGGAAGGCAAAGGGAGTCTGTCCCCGTCCAACTCCTTACAAAGGCAAGAAGGCTGTAAATGATATTGCAGCCTCAGCTGGTGGCAGTGGCAATCTAGCTGATGAGGTGGGACTCAGAACTCATTATCAAGGAATACTCACTGTTTAGAAGGATGAGGTGCCGATGGATATCGATTGTGGTGAAAATGACCAGGATCCATGTAGTGAGGTAAAGAAGAAGGTTACCAAAATGTCGATGAAAGATGTTGTCAATCGAGTGTGTGATCAAATCAAGTGGCAGGTGGCTGTTGATGGAGATAAGGCAGGTGCATGTGCTGATAAGAAAGGCAACTCACTTGGTACCAGCGTGTAAGTCTCACACTGTGTCATATCATGCTCCTGCTCACGGAGTCAACCATGTTCTTCCTCAACATAACTCTGAACCGCAGGAAACAGCCTGAGTTTGCACTCAGCAACAAGGGTGCAGAACTGGGCTTCTGGCATCAAAACCCAAATCGGGTCTCAAAACTTGGACACAAGTCATGTGACTCACACTTCAGCATCACCTCCACCTTCGACGATTTTCTCTCGCCTTACAAGCTCTTCTAGGACCACTCATAGTGTGATTCCGGCTGACATTCCTAAGGGTCCTCTTGAAGCTTGTGTACCTGACGATGCACTTGTTGAAGGTTTTACTGACAGTGAGGATGAGGGTGATGAATTGGAGCGCCTGGCTGCACATGGAATAACTGCCAAGGAAGGGAGATCAGCTTCAGCAGTAATATCTTATCGCTCACCAGAAATGTCTGCTGATATAGATCAAAGGTGGCAGTTACTCTCACAGTTGACAGCTCTGATGAAGAGTTTGAGCTTCCGGCAGAGTTATGTGCCCCATTTACCCAGATGTCACCAAAGGGTCCATCCAGCACTGCTGCACCTAGCAGCATTCTCAAACGGAAGGCTTCTGAAGATCTTGACTTGGTCCCTGGGAGTGAAATCAAAGACTTTTCAGATGATGCACGTGAGTCAGCACTATTTATTGATGCTTGCACTTTGAAACTCACTCCCTTGGTTAACAATACAATGGACATTGACACAGCTCCAAAGTCCCGGGAGGTCGATCAGAAGCACACACCAAAGTTTGATAAGC